CCATAGGTGAGGGTAGGGACGTAGATCGACCGGTAAATTGAGAGCTTCGCTTTTACACTCAGCTATTTTTTCACCAAGACAGACCGGTACAGCATCCACATCACTGCGGCCGCCACACCAATCCATCTGTTGATCTCCCGCTCCCTTCTCCCGTCACTCATGAACAAGACCCCGAGATACTCAAACTCCTCCACTTGGGGCAGGAACTCATCCCTGCTTGACCCGGGAGTGGGCACTCTACCCTTTTCTGGCCGAGGACCATGGCCTCAGATTTGGAGGTGCTGCATTTTCTATTTGTATTTCTCTTGAGTCTCACTCACAGAAATATTAAATTAATGTAATCATAATTGGACATGTCTTTTTGACTCAAGTATAGGATACCAGATTTCAGTTTAAAAAGGGAAATTGTAGACTTAATTAAACTAAAACCTTGAGTTTTGTAAGAAAACCTGACGAGATGGAATTTCATGCATCTCTGGACCTCTTCTGCTGCTGTTTTCAGATTGCTCACACTTCATTGATGTGCACTACACGTGCTCCATAGTTTCAAACTGAAGACCCCTGAAGTTGAACTGTACTGTTGCTTTTTGTGTCTCATCTTGTCACTTTGATGTGTTTAAATTCTGTGTTTTTTCCCCTCAGGCTTGTGTGTAGATTTTATGCATTTGTATGCTGGTCATATCTTCACATTGGTTTATTTTCCATCTGTCCTCCAGGCTATCGATGCTTCAAGGCCGTGTTGTTTCTAACAGGCCTAATGTTTGGCTCTGTGGTCATCTTCATGCTATGCTATAAGGAGAGGGTGATGGACACTCAGCTGAGTGTGGAGGCGTCCGTGGGCATCGGCCTGGGCATCGGGACCCTGTGTGGTCTGGTGACGATGCTGGTTCGCAGTGTGGGGCTGTTCATGGTGGGCCTGCTGCTGGGCCTGCTGGTTGGAGTTGCATCACTGGTGGTAATTTGCCTATTTTTAAGAATTATGTGTGTAAGCCAAATTATTAAACAATACATGCATTTGATATATCAGTATTACTTATATTGCATGAATAACACTGGAGCTAAGGATAAGAAAGTAGTTTTCATTGTCTATAGAGTAAAGGTGTATAAATTAACTGCATGCCATTACTATGTATCTGTAATTTTTGTAAAATAAACTATACATGAAAACATGACATTGTCAACAAATCCATCATGCATGTTTAGATATTTTCCTGGAACAATCCACACAAAAATGTCCTGGGTTATTTTTCCCATGATTCTCCCCTCCAACAAGTTTCATGAAAATGTGCCCAGTTGTTTCATTGCAATCTCAGCACCAAAATTTAGAGGTTTATATTTGTCCATGTGCCACTTCTGCAGTGAGTTTTGAGGAAATGTAGGTTTTGTAAAATTGTACAATTGTAGGGTTATTTTTTTTCTTAACTCTGAAATAGCATTTAGATTATGATCCCAAATTGATTCACATACAAAAAAGCAAAATGGAACACTTTTCCTGTCTCTCTTAGGTCATGGAGGAGTTCTACCACCCCAGAACAGTGTGGGTTCCTCTGGGTATTCTCTTGGGTTCTGGGACACTATTTGCTGTCCTCACACTACAGTGGCAGCGCTGCTTTGTCACCCTCTCCACTGCCACATTTGGCTCTGCCATCATAACCGTAACCGTGGATTATTTTATAGAGCTGTTCGCTTTGGTACACTACGTTTATGAGAGACTCAAGGTAAGAACATCAGGGTATGCTTCTGTGCATCTTTCCGAGTACATGTTTGTGAGAAAGACAGATATTATAAAAGTTATTAAAAAAACTTGTTTGTTATGGAATATGTAATTCTGACATAGTCCATATTCTGAAACACATATTCCAGTGATATGTGTGTCAGACTAAAAGGAGATGTAAAACATATTTTGAAAAAGGGTGTGTTCTTTTTGTTAGTAGAAACAGGACTACAAATACTTTTCTCCAAGTGCGGAATGTCGATAAAGGCCTTGCCAGGTCATATCAATTATATTTATAGAGCATATATCAAATAATTGCTTCAGCTGGCTTAAAGACTTGCACTAAGTCTGCACACCCTCTGTGCTCAGGCACTTGGCAAGAAAAAGCTTACAGAAAAAAATCATTAAAATTGGGAGGAACTGGAGAAGATAAATTCTTTAACTGATCAGCAGTTAAGGATATAACTGACACTGGAACTGTATTTTTTGCAGGTGGATCCCAAGAAGCCAGTGTGCTGGTTTACTTGGGTGATCATGGGGGTGTGGCCTGTCCTGGCACTCCTCGGAGTGCTGATTCAGTGGAAAGTCACTGCAGAGGGATTTTCTCACACAGAGGGTGAGTGTTATTGCTTTATACACAACTAAACTCACCAGAGCAGACTGAGAACCTATTTCAATGTTTGTGGTTTTTTGCATCTTGCCAGAGGAATTTTCGGCCAAGTTTAAGTTTGTTATTCATTTTGTTGTCCTCAAAGCTTTTTTTATTTATATAGCACCAAATCACAACAACAGTCACCTAAAAGCACTTTATATTATAAGATAAAGACACTACAACAATAGAGACAAACCACAACAACCAAATGACCCTTTGAGCAAGCACTTGGCAACAGTGGGAAGGAAAAAACCCTTTTAACAGGAAGGAACCTTCAGAGAACCAGGCCCAAGGAAGGGCAGCTATCTATCCCGACCAGTTGGGGGTGATGAGGCAGTAGGTTATATAAAATAATTTTTAAGTGAATAATATACTATCCATTGTCACAGCATGTAATCACCAACAAAGGCGGACGTCACAGATGTTGGTTTGGCACTGGCGTTTTGATCTGCGACACTATGTTAGTCTTGCCTTGGTAAACTTGAGCTTGTTCAAGAGATTTATTTAGAAACTTCTGAAAGGTTTATAACTTTTCAGAGATTTTAAAATGTTGTAAACCATTAGGTGACATAATTACGTATGTGGATTCTCAGAGATTAGTATAATATGTAAGATGAATGCAGAGTGTTCATCTCTCTCATCTGCAGTCATACATGGCATTTCGGAAAATGCCATGTTTGACTGTCATCAAGGAATCCTGTTTAAGAGAACTACATATATGAGTTGTGTATATGAGTATATGGAAATCAGAATATCTCTCCAAGTCATGAAGTATTTGCTATTTTCAAGCTCTTGAAGAAATTGTTGGAAGTATCATTCTCTCCACAAAAACTTTCAGTAGCTGTCTACAGATGTTAGAGTTTTAAAATACTTAGATCCCCTCTACTGAAAAACCAGACATATTGTAGTACGAACAGACAACATGATGGCAGCAGTGTGCATTGTATACACAGTAGGCTTGTTTGAAATAGCCAGTAGCCTGCTGCTGCAGCCTCAAAATCTCACGCTGTTCATCAGAGTGGTTCACATCATGGAAGTACAGATCCTTGCAGGAGACTTGATGTCTCTCACACATTAAAGGGAATTTGATTTCTATACATTGTGTAGATGTTTTTGGACAAATCTGAGAAGGAAGAAGTGGATTTGTTTACCATGAAATAAAAGAGTAATTCAGATCTCTGTAAACATATAAGACAACCCTTCAGTGGATGTTGCCTTCTCTCACTAGTCATGGCTAGGGATGGGTATCGTTTAGGTTTTATCCGATACCAGTACCAAACCGATACTTTTGAAACGGTGCTGGTGCTTAAAC